GAATACGGCTGCACTGGCATTCAAGTTATCCAGAAATGTTTGCAACTTACCTGGATCTTCACTTAGTAGCACAATGTCGTCCGCGTACTCTAGATCAGACAGCCTGCCACCTAGGAGTAAATCGATGCCACTATCTTCGCACGAGGTATGTAGGTACAGAAGCCGCAATAGTTTTACATACTTTCGCGGCATTCCTTTGCGAAGCTTCACGGTCAACTGAATCGGAGACTCCTTTTAGGTCAAGGAACACTGCGATGAAGTGTGTGACGCAATTCGAGGACTTGGCGCAGAGTGAAGATTTGGTTGATATAACCGCGACCAGGTCGGAATCCGGTTTGCTGTTCGCGGATATTCATTTACCTTAAGGATATCGGGCGGCGCAGTGTCACAGAAGTTAGCACTTTTGTGATGATCGGAACAAAACTAATCCCGCGGTGGTTTGCGCAGTCGTTGCGCGATAGGGACGATCAACGATTCACCCAAGGACAGAGGGATACGCTTCTCTGACAAAATGCTGCGAAGTAAACTAGTAATCGAGTCAACAAGAGAATCACCGCCCACCTTGAAAAGAATGGGAAGGAGCCCATCAGATCCCTTTACCTTCCCTTTCTTCAATTATTGAATGCAGCTTCGTAGTTCCCATTCTAATGGGGGCTCATACTTTACCACCAAAGGAGTTTTCGCTGCATTCACACCAGGCCAATTGAACTGTTCACTAAAATACTCTGAGCAGCAATCAAGTTGTTTTTTTGCGGATACTTTGTTCACTTTTATCGCAAATGGTTCCAATGATCCGTATGTAACGACCTCCGGTGCTGCGTATCAGGTGGACCAGTCATTGACTATTCCCTGACGCAGAAGTTACTTCCATTTCGCTCGTTATTTTGGCCCACAAGTTTCCGCGATCTTTCTTCTTGAGGCAGGTAGCGGTTGGAAAAAAGGTCGAGGGTGGTCAAAAAAAGACCCGGCATGAGGGTATGAAAACCCTAACCAGGAGACTGAGTCACATACGTCCCGTTAGGTTCCCTGGATGGGGACCCCGAGATAAACGTCACCGACGGTTAGAAATGAAATAATCTGTCACCGGTGTGTGTTCGCTGGGCGAGAAGAGCGAAGCACCCTAGACAATGCGATGTTTTCCAACCTGCGCGTTGAAATTACCTAGAAGCACTATAACAACAGAGCTACGGTCCAATCGAATGACCTCGGTGGGTTTGTCTTTTTGTGAATAGGTACTGTAGTTGATTAGTGCTTATGCCGATATGATGAACAAGCACCGTTTTCCATTGCTGTCCTTCCTCCGAAAATTAACCAAACACTGGAGCTTCATTCATCATTATCGTTATCTTCATCGCAGAGCGCAAAACAATGAAGCGAACTTCACTGAACAGAAAGGGCACCCTTGACGAACACCTCTGCTGGTGACGAACGATCTACTTAGTTCGTTGTAAAACCTCACTCGACCAGAGGTATGTGAGTACAGTGACCTCAGTACGCTAAGGTACTTCGAGGAATTCCTCTTCAAATAAGCAAACCAAATAGGGTTTCGCGGCCAACGGAGTCAAGGAACATCATCATCATCATTATACAGTGTAATACAGTAAAGCGAACTTCACTGATCGTTGTCAAACTCATAATGCATACAAGATAAGTGCGAAGTGTAGGGAAGATAGGGATTCGGCCTATTTTGTGGGACAGGAAAAGAAAGCGAACCTCTATGGTCAACACAAAGAGTACAAAGTACACACTACAAAAGATGAACAAACACCTTTTGGTGTTGCTTCCCTCCCTG